TATATTTATATATTTTGCAAAGTTGCTCACTTTTTGTTGCAAATGTTTATTCTAAACTTGCACAATGTTCATTTATAAATAACACTGAATCAACAATTGTCTTGTTTATTTTACAGAAGAAGCACGCAGGCTTCAGAGGATTATCACACGACGGGCCCCGTCAAGTCTCTGCAAATTGGGGCCCGTTCCCTCTGTCAGAGCCCCGCCCCCCCCTGGATTGGGGACAGGGCAGGAAAACCCGAATTGGAAGAACTCCTTGATCCATCCCTTTCACACCGAGTGGATCCGAGCCGGAGAAGTGTCTAATATGTTCTTCGAGAAAATTAATTTCCTATTTGGAATAAGCCCAAGCCCTTCCAAGCGTGTATTCTGTAATTCGCGTCCTTGCTTTTTTTTGGTTTCCCTTTGGGTTTCCTCTTATTCAGACATGGCGAACATAAACCATAAAAGTCGAACCACTCTGTTCTTAGCCTGACTTGCGTTGTGGATACTCACAATCTAAATCTTCAATGGCTGAGGAGTGGTGACATTTTTGAGAGGATCATTGACGAGTCCTTTGGCGAGGAGAATCTCTCCTTTTTGCGTTCAGTCCCTTGGCTATCATTCATTCATCTCATCTCGGTCTCCTGTCAGTGTTTAACAACTGCACCGTTTTAGCATCGGCCAACATCATCACTTTGTTTTTCAACTTTGCATGCAAATCGAAGTCATTATGAGCTTCGCACGGATTCAGGTAGGGGGCAAAACCAAGGGAGGAAGGGCAAAACCAAGGCCAGAAGGGTCAAAACCAAGGCCAGGAAGGGCAAAGCAAAGCTAGAAGGGTCAAAGCCAAGGCTAGGAAGGGCAAGCCAGGCCAGAGGGCCAAAGCCAAGGCCAGGAAGGGCAAAACCACGGCCAGGAAGGGAAAACCAAGGCCAGAAGGGCAACCCAAGGCCAGGAAGGGCAAAACCAAGGCCAGGAAGGGCAAAACCAAGGCCAGGAAGTCAACCAAGGCTAGGAAGGGCAAAGCCAAGGCTAGGACAGGGCAAAGCCAGGCAGGAGGGCAAAGCAGGCCAGGAAGGGCCCAGCCAGGCCATGAAGGGCAAAAACCAGGCCAGGAAGGGCAAAGCCAAGGGCCAGGAGGTCACAGCCAAGGCCAGGCATGGCCAAGCCAAGGCTAGGAAGGGCAAAGCCAAGGCCAGGAAGGGCAAAACCAGTCCAGGAAGGGCAAAAACCAATGGCCGGAAGGGCAAAGCCAAGGCCAGAAAAGGTCAAAGCAAGGCTAGGGGGGCAAAGCAAAAAAAGGCCAGAAGGGCAACCCGCATGCCAGTAAATTTCAAAAACACCCCTGCCCCTTCCTCTTGGGGGCCTTTTCCACGTACCGGCCGTTCTTGCCTAGAATCCGGTTGGTCCCACGTACTGGCCGGGGTGAAGGTGTTCGTGTCCAGGACTCCTCTGGTCCCTGGCAAAGCCAAGGCCAGGAAGGCCAAACCAATGCCAGGAAGGCAAACCAGGCCTAGAAGAGGGCCAAGCCAACGGCCAGGAAGGGGCACAACAAGGCCCGGAAGGGCAACGCCCAAGGCCAGGAAAGTGGAGGGGGCAAAAACCAAGCCAGGAAGGGCACACCAAGGCCAGAAGGGCAAAGCCAAGGCCAGGAGGCAAAACCAATGCCAGGAATGGCAAAGCCAAGGCCAGGCAGGGGCAAAACCGAAGGCCATGAAGGGCAAAGCCAAGGCCAGGAAGGGCAAAACCAAGGCCAGGGGGAAGGGCAAAAAAACAAGGCCAGGAAGGGCAAAGCCAAGGCCACAGGAAGGGCAAAACCAGGCCAGGAGGGCAAAGCCAAGGCCAGGAGGAAAGGGCAAAACCAAGGGCAGGAAGGGCAAAGCCAAGGCCAGGAAGGGCAAACCCAAGGGCCAGGCAGGGCAAAGCCAAGCCAGGAGGGGCAAAACCCAGCGCCCGGCCGGCCGCACCAGCCAAGCGACCTAACCACAACCAGCCACCCCAACACTGGCTAGAGAGGATAGGACCTTCGCAGGAAAGGGCACAAAACGAGGTCCCAAAAAGGGCAACCTGGACCAGTGAACAGCCGAGCCATTAAAGAGCCAGGCAGAAGCCCTGCCCGCAGGAGACGATCCCGAAGAAAAGGCGCCAGAATGGAGGCCACCGGTCATGAAGCCATCGAGACCGTTTGGAGGCCAATTCCCGGAAGCAGAAGGCCTGAAGCAGACGAGAAAAAAACGGAAACCCAGGCAAACGAGAAAGATGAGTGAAATCATCAAAAAAAGAATAGAATGAATATAAGAGTATAATAAATATACATTATCCCCTGTGCATCAGATGGCCCAGTGGGTAGAGCGTTGGCCTCCGAGCCTCGTGGTCCGCGGATCGAGGACACCTTCGGGCAAAACCATGAAGGAATATTATATGATAACTCTGATCATTATCAACAGTATTTTATTACAATGCTATTATTATTATTATCATTATTATTATAATTTTATTTTTTCTTATTATTATTGTTGTTGTTATTATTTAACTTTTTATATTAGTAGTAGTTGTAGTATCAATTATGGTTATCATTATTATTTTGGTTATCATTATTATTATCAATCACAATCATCATTATTATTATCACTATTTTTTTTTTTCTATTATTATTACTATCATTATTATTCATTTATTATTTTATTACTAAATTGCTATACTATTACTATAACATTATTATTAATTAAATGCTTCGAGTAAAGAATTCATTTAATAATCATAATAATAATAATAAAATATAATAATAATATAATCTAATTAACAATTAATTAAAATGAATAAAAAATAATAATAGTAAAAATAAAAGAAAATTTAAATAAATAGTAAACAATAATGATGATAATTGTGATGAGTATAATAATAATAACTAAAATAATAATCGATACTCTAATAAGGATACTACAACTACTAATAATTAAATCATCATCATATATACATCATGAGTTGCGGACTTGAAAAAGCATAATGCCCCTACACTTACTAGGTTGCCTCGATAGACAGTGGTTAGAGCGTGGCATCCCGAGCCTCGGGGGTCCCGCGATCGAGTCACCTCGGGGAAGAAAACCGCCAAGCATCAGAAATGACTGTGCTGGAAAGCACATAACTGCTTCTCCGGTGTAGGCAATCACGACGAGAGTAGTGAGGTGGTTAGAAAAAAAAAAAAAAAAAACAACATCTTTGTGACACAAAAATGCAATCCCTTCCTCCTGAGTCTAGCCAGCCGCGGTTGAACGGTACGTGGTTTGTGCTCTTCCCGCCGCCGCGTAACACCTAGCAAACCATGGCTCTCATGTTTCCCGCACCGGTCAGAGGGGAAATCGACTCACTCCCCGGGTCACAGGGGTAGCAGGGAGCTTCCCCGGTGCGTTATCGGGCAGGCTCCAGCTAGCTCGAGCTATAATCCCCAGAGTGAAAGGGCCCCGCACCCTCGGCCGAGGGTTTCGTGCCCCATTCCCAGGTAATGGAACCCTCCGCCCTAGGATAACGGGCACCCGGCAGGCGAGGGTCAAAGCTCCCTCGCCCATGGACGATGGGCACCCCCATGGCAGCCAGGGTCAAGCTGCCCCCGCCCAGGGCAAAGGGCGACTCAAAACCCGGGACAACACCAGCAGCCCTATCAGAATTTCAACGATACCCAGCAATTCCAGTGATATCGGGAGAAACAATGGAACCGAGAAAACAAACAAGATTTAAATGGAAACAGTGAATTCCAGCGAGACAGAAAGCTTATCTTCAGGTAGGCAGCATAAACTATAGTGCTAAACAGATCCTATGCTTTATTGCAACCAAAAAAAGCATGGGCTCGGATGGTGACGTGTGATCAAAGCAGGAGGAACCTGTACAGGCCCGGATGAGATCGAAACTGCCTATAATATCATTCTACATTATCAGACTCTAGAAGAACAAGAAATATAACTAAGACATGAAAAGAAGACAAAACTCCATAGTCATAACATGATCGATCAGTTGTTTTAAAAAAGGACAACATAGGGTTTGCTAAACAACGACAGGACCACTCCCGCCACTGACATGGTCTCCACACCAAAAGAAAAAGGGATATCACTACCCATTAGTAAAAAATATTTCAAAAACCAAAACACAAAATACACCAGAAAACACACACGAACCCCTCCTTGGTCAATCAAGGATCTTATTGAAAATAAATGGATGGCTGGGGAATGTTCTCCAACAACAAATCAGCAATCAAACAGCTAATCCGCCAAGGCGCGAATGCCTATCAGCCGCAGGAATGCGGAAAGGAGAAGCTTCCGTCCACAAAACATCCTCGACCCCACCAATTCCACGCAAGATCGATCTCCCAACCCGGCACTACGATCAATTCTGCCTACAATCTTCCCTTTCGCATCCCCCTCCCCCGGCAGGAACCACATTTTACCTCTACCACCAAAAAAGCAAAACACCTCCTACACCTTCCACCCGAGTACCAACGACCAACGCCTCTCCTAGCTCCCTCCACACCCAACCACCCTCCCCCGACACTCCGTTCCACCTCAACCAACTCCCTCTGTACACACTCAGACCCAGCAGACTCACGGACCTTGCTGACGGCCTCGTCCGGCCACGCAGCGTCTGACCAAAAACAAACGCTGAACGCCGAAACCGGCATGAGGAACGAAAGCCTTCTACACAGTCACACATAGAGAAGCTACGTCAGAAACTTAAAAAGAAAACAAGCAAAAACATCTTCACCAAATCGCCAATGGGAAGATGCGACCACACCACACGTGCCTGGTGTACCGCCCCCCCTACTAACCCCTCTTGCTCCACAAACGCCACCAAGCGATCGTAATCAACAACTACGCGGAAGGAGCGGGAAACAAAGAGGCAAACAAACGAGCAGCCCGCGCAACACCAAGATGCGGAAGGATTCGTTCAAGTTATTCAAGAAACATAAAAGAAAAAAGGGAGGAACGTCACTCGCCAAAACCCTTGCAAGGTGCCGACCCGTCCTCAGGTATGTGACCTTATAGTAGAGTTGCCACCCAGAAGAAACAGAGAAGGACGCTATGAGAGACTTCCTCGAAATAATTTCAACCAAATTTCAAATGTCAAAGGCTTTTTTTTTCAAAACAAAAATGTCGCATAATTACTACTCAAGTTTCACAGGCACTATTAGGGCAAAGACATAACCCCAGACTGTTTTAGAGCAGACGTTCTTTCCCAACAATGTGACGGGATCTAAATAGAAACAAGTCAAAGGCGAGCAGAATTTTGACGTTGCAAATCCGGCGTAAATCATCAAACACCATCAAATATTGAACACATCAATGCACAGTCCCTCCTCGGTCATTTCGAAAGAAATCAAATTAATAATTAGGAGAGAACTATTGATATTTTGTGTTTGCGAACTTGGCTTCACCAAGAAATACCAGCAGTTTCATCAGCATCCAAAAAGTCAATGTTTACAGATGGATGGGGGCCAGGGACGTGGAGGTGGAGTATGCAAGATGTAAGCGTACCCTTAAATCAAAAAAGATCTCCCGCAACTGTAAATCATACAGCAGTAGAGTAGAGGAAATCTGGGTAACCGTACCAAAGCGATATGCATCCTCCTTTTTTTTTCCCCCTCGTCGCACAATCTACAGAAACCCTCATGCAACCACAGACTCTTTGACTACCTAGAAAAATATTTTCGGAGAAATGTCAATAAAGCGAAAACCACTTTTCATCTTAGGTGATTTAAATGACGAAATCTAAATAAAAAACCTAATGCAAAAATTTAAATGGATAATTAACAAAAACAAATTTAAATTACACTTGATAAGAAAGCCTACAAGGATTACAGAAAAAACACTTCATCCTTATTAGAGTTATAATAAACAAACAGACCCGATAATACACTACACGCAGGACGCCTGTCCATGCCACATGCTGATCACGAGCTGTAAACCATGACGTTAAAAATAGAAAAAAACAAAGCGAAAACCAGTCATTAAAACCTCTCGCGACCTCCTCCTAACGCATTAACACATGCTCAAGTACTCTGCAATATATACAGCCAAGGAAATCGTCACTGTCAGGATTATAACAATGATTGACGTGTGATTAAAAAGTTAACATTCTTACAAACCGTGATAAAAGAACGGCATCATGCCTGCGATCCTTTTAAAACAAAAACAGTAAGGGCGTCCTTTCCCGCCCTTGGATAAATGACAACCTTAAGAGGGCCATAAATGATAGAATAATACTCACAAAGCTCTCAAGATAAAACAGATTGACCATCCACCCTTCGGGCTGAATACAAACAAAAGAAGAAAATGTGAAAAACACTCCTCCAGGGGCGAAAACCAATTTTTTTAAAAACAAGTTCAATGAATGAGAAGCGATTCTGCCGGGACGTGGAACCTAGTAAATACATTAGTGCCTAAGAAGAAACAAAAAACGACAGACACTTCCCAAAATTCCATAAATAATATAGAACATTTCAATAACTCTTGCAGAAATAGGCAGAAGCACTTTGAAAACAGACAACCGGCTCCCACATATCAACACACATAAACGAACTGAATACTACAAAAAAACTTTTTCAGGACCGCAACCAGTTGGAAGTAGAACAATCATCTTGACAATAAAAAACTTAAGAAAGACAAATTCCGTAGGGAAGCAGAGCATTGCACATCGTTCATAAACGATAGTTACCAGCAATGCTTACTATCTGACAGTAATCATAATACACTATAGTCACTGGAGTGTATCCATCACTTTGGAAACCGGCAATCATAATCCTATTTTCAAATCCGGTGACAGAGACCGGGAAATTAATATTATCGAACCATCAATATCAACTATAATGCCAGTAATATCTAAAGTTCGCGAGATAGAAAATAGTTTGCAAACCAATTAACAAATTTTTTAGAAGCGAATAACTCTTATATCAACACGCAAACCCGTTTTAGGAATAAATTATCAAACGAAAAGGC